GTCCGAGTCCTGACAGCTTTTTGCAACTGTGCAAGTTCAATGAGCCTCAGTTTCCTCATCTGGAAGTCAGAACGAGGCTCAGCTGAGGTCAGCTGCTTGGCCCAGTGCTTGGCACAGAAAGCCAGCTCATTGCCGGCTCTGCTGTGCCACAAAGGAGTTGCACTTACTGCTGGGGTCCTGTTTGCAGCATTGAAGTGTGGTGGCCTTTCAGCCAGTTGTGTTTCCCTACAGGAGGGGTGGATTCCGTATGTCTGGGCAACCCAGCTCTTGAGTGCCTGGACTCTGTTAATGAAAATCAGGGTTGTATCTGCCTGGACTGTCCAGTTAAGAAGTGGGTGGAGGGCCCTCCCTGGTGGTGCAGTGGGTTAAAGCACAGCACTGAGAAGCTGAAGCCACTTCATCATGAGTTTGATCCCTGCCCAGAAGGTGACCCACATGGCACAGCAGACCTCTCCCGTCAAGCCCGCTGCTCCTCTCAGCAGTGTACTTCACTGATCTGCCTGTCCTGCTCCCCACTCTGTCTCTGGTGAATCCTCTCATCCCCCTGCACCTCTGACCTGTACCCCAGTTCTGTATGCATAAAAAAAGAAGTGAGTGAGGCTGGGTAGAGGGCCATGACAGCCGTGTCCTTCTCTGGGGTCAGTCCTGCTGACTGGTCTTTGGAAAGTTAGTCTCTAGGAAGAACAATACCAAGGTAGGTCCACAATCCCTTATCCAGTTCCAAAATCTTAATAAATTATTTGGCAGCTAAACATGACCTGAAGGATGGGAAGCGACTGGTGACTGTTATTGGTGTCTAGTATGCACCTAGTGAAATGTTTGCTCGTTCTTCTCCTGCCTTGAAATATAGGTTTAATGATAGGACGCTCCCCAGCCCCTTCTGGGAGGGTGGGGTTTGATGTAATAAAGGGTCCATGTTTCTTTTCTAAAATGCAAATGATGGGAAAAAACAGAATTGGGAAACAGTGGATCCCAACCGGTTGGGTCAAGGCTTTTGGGCCTTTCTATAAAATGCCAGGCTTCCTTTGCCTAGACAGAGGCTAGCATCTCTCTGAGAAGGGTGGCACTCTCATTATCGAAGGCTCACTTTTGGCTCGGTGTGGACCCGTTCATCTTGTCAATGGAAATAAGCTCTCCTGCTAGCAGTTGGATTAATGAGGATGCTGGGAATGGTAATGTGTTTGGATTGCCATTTGATGAAGCTGGGGAATTTCTTTTTCTAATTAGAGACTTAGATGCCACATAAGACAGCCCAGAAATTGTCACCCATCCGCTCACCTAAGCAGCCACCTGTGGGGTCTTGCAACGGACAGATACCCTCTCTGCCTGCAGCACACCGGCTGCCAGCTCATCAAATTTTGCTGCCTGGACAGAGTTCACACTGAGGTGTTGAACCTCTCCAGTTGCTTGCTATTAAATCCATAGAGGGGCTGGATTGGAGCCATTGCTGTCATTCTGCCCAATAGAAATGAAACTTCTGGGGTCTGTAGGTCCCCAGGGATGGGCGTTTTCTCTTAGAACATGCACAGGGGGTGGGCCCAGGGTTTTTGTTTCAGATGCTTTAGTGATAGGAGACACTGTCTTCTTGTTGGTAGAAAGTGAGAATACACAGACAAGAGAGGGGAGGATTTGCTATTTGTCCCTCGAGGCTGTTCTTTGGATTGTTTATCTTTGCAACCAGATTTGGTTCAATTGGGGTGTGGCTTTGTCCCCCACCCCAATCTGTTGGTAAAATTCTGCTCAGAGGCTTAATTCCTTCCTTGCCTCGAGTCTCAGTGGTTCTGTGCTCTTTAAATCGGGAGGCTAATCTGACTAGTAGAGTTAGGGGACACTGTTCTTCTTTGCTATCTACATAGATGCTTTCTGGCACTTTCTAGGCAACTTAAACATACTTTCCTCCCTAAATCCCCAAGCCCATATTTGGGAAAAAAAAATTTTTTTAAAATCCCAAACAGCAGTGTGCTGGAGTTAGCTATACTAGTTCACAAACATGGAATTTGTGCCTCTTGTCCTGACACAAAGTTCAAAGCCAGCATGTCGGGAAGGCTGCAGCCAGCCACAGTGGGGATATTTATACAGGAGTCAGCACTGGTACAAGTCATGGCTGGTTCCAACTTTCTCCCAGTATCTGAAAGGAGAAAGTTCCTGTTTGGTAGGTTATGGGTGGGGGGAGTGGTTCTGTACATGCTATCACTATTAATTTCTTTTTTTAAAAAAATTTATTTATGCATACAGAACTGGGATACAGGCCAAGAGGCTCAGGGGCGGTGGGGAGCAGAACAGGCAGATGGACGAAGTACACTGCTGAGGGGAGCAGCGGGCGGGTCAGGAGAGGTCTGCTGTGCCATGTGGGTCAGCTCCGGGGCCGGGGATTGAACTCGCACTGAGGTGGCTGCGGGTAGCTTCACTTCAACCCATGCGCCACCAGGAGGACCCCATCACTATTAATTTCTATGAAAAAATGTTGACCATTCCTAGGCCCCCACAATAGCCTACCACATCAAGCCAGATGGGATGGTTCTACTTCTGGAGAGCAGGGGAACTGTGCATTAGACATTTGCCTGCCTACCCCTGGCCACAAACGAAAATCACCTTCAGGAGCAAATGGTTCACTAGGAAACAAACAAAACGCCACACTGAAAACACAGCAAATGCTCTGGCTTCCTGCGGGATTCTTTCTGACCTGCGTTTTTCTGTTGGCTCTGAACCAAGCTTCTGGCTCTGACTGACACCCCCAACTCCAGGGGACCGCTGTGTCTTTTCACTACATTGTTGGGTGTATTTCTCAAACCAGCCAGAGGAAGTAAAGATGGTCTTTTGCATCAGCTCAGTGCGAATTCTGCGTGATGTTCTTTCTTCAGTGTGGGGGAACAGGAGCCCAAGGGTGCCCACGCACCCACATTCGGGAGCCACCCCCTCCCCAAATGTTGCTGCCGGGAGCTTGCTCAAGAAGACAAATGCCATGAGAAGTCTGCTAGCTCGGGGGCCTTTTTCTTAGAATCTAAGCTATCAACTGTGAAAAAAAAAAAAAAATGAGATGTTGTTTTGACCCAGAAATTCCAGTTCTCAGAATCTGGCCAACAGAAATATTTTTAGCTGGGCACAAAATGTACATAGAAGGATGTTCTTCTCTTTGAAATGGCAAAAACATGAGAAGAGCCTTTTTCTAACTGTACTGGGGGGGTTATCTAAAGTAAAGTCCATCCACCCCACAAAAGACCCTGCGGAGACTTTTGTGTGTATTTGTGTGTGTAATTTCTAGTTTTAATTTTTTTTAATAATATGTTTATTCTTACATCATTTTGTGCATTTTTTCATCTCAGTTGTAATCCCTGTGGGGTCTTTTATTAAGAGAAAGTGGAAATTGTTGAAAGGAGGTAGAAATTTTGTACATATGTAGGATGTCTGTGAGACCTCTTGAGATTGGGGGAGAAGCCCATGTAGAAAACTGTGTACAGAGTTATAACCTCATTTTTGTAAAAAGAACCCCCTCGTATCTGTGTAGGAAGACATTAGAAAGATCTGGAAGGAGAAAGAACAGACCTCTGGAGTTTTCTCCAGGGAGGTGTGTGGCCTGGGATAGGGAAATCAAGGCTTTCTTGCTTTCTACTTCTGAATTTTTAAAAAATGTTTGATAAGAATACATTTACTTGAACATTACATGAGCAGCTTTGCTTTAAAGAAAAATATTGTGTGGGAACTGTTTTAAGGCTGTGGTTTTCACCACCTTCTGTGAGCCACACAGCTATTTGAGGGGGAAACTGGAGTTCTTGGTAGGGCTGGGAGTGAATTGGTGGGCCTACTTCTGTCAGTCCCCAACCTCTTGTTCAGGTAGACGGTCCATTTTGAAAGATCCATTTTGTACACAGGATTTACATTATTTAGGGAAAAAAAATTCTGCAAGTTTAAAAAATAAGTTTGTAGACTGCATGTCAAGAGAAACTATGGTTTTAAATGTACCTCAACCCAAAGTATGGAATCAGCAGGAATATTTTTTTTACCTGCCAATTGATGTGTGATGTATATTTCTGCTTGCAAGAGGCTCAGGGCCCAGACATGAATGCTTATGGGGCCTGGGGAGGTGGGGAGTGGATGCTTCCAGGTGGGGGGAGTTAATTAAGATTCAGGATTTGGGGAGAGAAACAGACGAATTCTCCTGGGAGGCAGGACTGTGAAAGGGGATATCCCGAAGGGGATATTTCATTTCACGCAGATGTTCACAGAGACAACCCAGTTCCTCACTTTAGGGTTCTTTACCTGGGTGACCAGGTAAAGGGTTTGCCAGGTTGCCCCCCACCCCCCACCCCAGCCTAGCGCGAAGCTGCTTAGGAAGCGATGCTTTCTCATGCCTGCCAGTCCTTGTCCTGCTCTGGGTGTGCAAGGTGCTTCCTGCGACAGTGGCCTCGGGGCTCCCGTGTGGCCCCGGCCTTCTGGTGGGGGTGCAGCTAGAACTCTGGAGTACACAGCATATTCTGGAGCGTTGGGCTGGGCCAACCCAGCCACTCCAGGGGCTGAATGGAGGAACCCCCTGAAGTCCAAGGGCGAGAAAGAGCCCCTGGTGTGTATTAAAACAAGCAAAGCTGGGAGAAAAGAGGAAACAAGACAAAGAACAAGGGAAAAGTGGAAGGGAGGGGGGAGAGGAGAAGGAAAGGGAGCACCGAGCTGGGGAGGCACAGTCTGAGCCCGGAGATGATGCAGGTGTGGGTCCAGCCAGCCCATTACTGGGGTGTACATCCTCCCGCCCTGGCTGATCGGTTTCCGTTTCTGGTGTGATGTCACTGACTGCGGAGCTGGCCGAGAGGCCCGCAGTTGGCTCACACGCATGCCAGTGCCCTGGCGCCAGCCCCCTGCCCCTTGTGTGAGTTACGCAGATTGCACAGAGCTCCTAAAGCGACCCACCCACCCCAACTGGCCAAGGCGGGGGAGGACACGGAGGAGAGGAAGCCCCACTCCCTCTGCTGGGTCTTGCCAGTAGGGCGGGTTGAGGGACGCAGCCTTACTTTGGATTCCAGCAGGTGATCACCGGCTTCATGGTGTGGTGCGTGTGGTCGATAGTGAGCGCCTCCAGGAGCCAGTGGAGCGCGCAGAGCTGGCGGAACAGGGGCTCCCTGCAAGGGGGGGCACAGTGGGGTTCGGTCAAAACAGCATCCTTCACTTTCGGGAGACAGAGGTAGGGGCTGGGCTGGCTCTTAGTTAGGGGGCTGCTGGCACATTCCGGGGGTGTATAAGTATTTCCCTACACCGGTTTATTCATCCTTTGCTGCGGACCCATTTCACAGATGAGGAATCTGAGGCTCAGAGGATTTAAGGAACTTGCGCTGCGTCTCTGGGCTAGTGGGTGGCAGATGAGCCCATGAGAGGTGACTCTATGCTGGTTGCTGTGTGGTGAGGAGGGACGAGGGAGGGTCCCTCAGATAAAGGACCTGACACAGGCAGGTGAGAAGATCGAAGGAAATTTATACCCTATAGGTAGCCAGTTGCTCAGCCGATAAAATACAACAAACACACTGTGAGTGTGAAAGCCGCCTGCAAACACAGAAGCTAGTGTGTTTGTTGTGCTCCCTTCCTGCGGGTTAGCTGCTTTCCACGTGTAAGTCGTTCGGCTGAAGTTTCTGCCAGGGGCTGAAGAAGACACTGGCTATGTTATTTGGACCATCACGCATGGTTTCCCCTGGGGGGAGGCCCCTCTGTCTGACAGGGACCCAGGTGTGGGCTTGGTCACCCACACATTGTTTAATTCTCTGGGCGTTGTGACCCGCATTTCAGAGAGAAGGAATCCGCGCTTCAGAGAGGTGCGTTCACTTCGGTCCAGCCCCACAGTGTGCTGGTGGCAGAGGTGGGGTCTGACGACCTCATTTTCTGCTGCCAGCCACCCTGTACTGTTAGGGCCTCTTTGCAGGTTAGAGCCCCGAGGCTCAGAGAGGTAAAGCCACTGGATCAGGGGGGTCTGGACGGTTGAATCTGAGTCTCTTTGACCTCAGGCTGTGTTTTCATGGGGCGAGTGCTGATTTCTCTAGGGTTGGACGAAGCCGGCACCGTCATGCCTGAGAGTGAGGTCAGGAGAGGGTCAAGCTGGGCCCGTGTTCTTCCTGGAAACAGGTGGAGTCCTGACCACACCCACCCCCCACGATGTCTCCCTTTACGCTAATGGGCGCCAGGCCTCCATTACCAGCGCGCTCTCCTGAAGTGGCGTCCAGTCGTGATCCATGTTCCCCCAGGGTGCCTGGACTTGCCGCTCAGAGGCCGGAAGCCCTCCACTCTGTCCAGGAAGACACTGCCACAGCAGGTGGGGCCGGGCCCTGGGGGCATGTGTGGAGCTGCCCCAGGGTTGCTGGCCATCTTGGGAGGCACCCGCCTCCCTCAGCTTGAAGGAGAGCTGCCCACCTCACCCCACACCCCGCCCTACGCCCCACCTCCGTGAACGAGCTTTTAGGGAAACTAGTCAGTGGCCCTCTGCTTCCCTGGCGCCCCTGCCTCCCCCTTTTGTCCTCCCACAAAGTCTTGACACCACGCGCCTGCTCTTGCCTCACTTCTACGCTCCGTAAGCCCACAGCCCTGCCAGTTCTTGTCTTTGTCCCCTTGAAGCCATCTTGGCCTCTCTGGGCCCTGGGCGCTGTCCAGCATTTCAGCAGCAGCAGCAACAGTGGCTGGCTGTGCCACGTGCCCCTGGGCTGTGCCACCTTGATGCCCACTGCTGTAACCCCAGGGAGCTGGGAAGGGAGTCAACTGGTGAGGTGGGAAAGACCCAGGGGATACCCTGTCCCCCACTGCTGGTGACAGCTTAGAGCCCCTGAAGGCCTGGGCTGTGGGTTGTGTGGGAGGAGAAGTAAAAGGTGTTAACTGGTGAGGTGGGGTCTGCTCTCAGGGCATCTGGGCACCTGAGCTTCAGCCTTGATCTGCAGGTGATATGAACAGAAGCAAGCCTGACCCTTCCTGCTTCAAAATAGCCCTGTTGTGGGCTTCAAACACGGGCCAAACTGGGTACCCCCCCAAGTTCAAGTTTAAGTCCTTATGCTCAAAACCTCAGAACGTGGCTGCATTGGAGACAGGGACTTTGTAGGAGGTGATTGTGTCAAAGTGAGGCCCCGGTGGGTCCTGCGCCTTGGTGTTCTCATCTGAATAAGGGCGGGTATTGAGGTGGGGTGAGGTGGGTGCTCGCCTGGCACTGTCCTGCTCTGGATACACGCTCCTCCTCCCTCCTTGCATGTGCCTCTCAGCAATTGGGTCTCAGCGCAGATGTCACCTCCATCAGGAGCCTTCGCTGATTTCTCGGGATACGCTCTGTCTAGGAGGTTCTGAAATGTTCCCATCCTAACCACAGTCCCCTTGTCCCTACATTCCTGGTCCCGGCTCTGTGGGAACTACGTGTTTACTCGCCTCTCTAGCCCAGAGCCTGCAAGCTACAGGGCCTTGTCCTCTCAGGTCACCCTGAGCTGGTACAGACGTGGCTTGGTGCATTTCTGGTTAATGAACGCAAGGTGGCAGTTTCAGAGCTGATGTTTCCCTGAGCTGGTGTGACACCTTGATGTCCACTGCTGTAACCTAGAGAGCTGGGGAAGGCTTGGGAATGTCCCCCACCCCACCCCCGCATTCTGAGCACAGTTCTCATGCAGAACCACTGATATAATGGATAATGGAGACCAGAAGCATCAACATAATAATAGTCTGTGCCCTCTAGAGCACTTACTCTGTGCCAGCTGATCTTAGGACCAGTTACCTTGGGATTGAAGGGACTGATTGCCATCTGAGTGTTTGAGAATAGACTGGGCAGGCGGTGACCTGGAGCCCTTGGAATGATTGCAGAAAACACCTGTTCTCTACCCCAGTGGATCCCCAGCTTTGCCTCCCCTTTGCCAAGAGGTGGAGTCTTTCTGTCACTTCTTGTATCAGAGCTGGCCTGATGTCTTGCACTGGCCAGAACTACATACGGGCCCCTGAGTCCATTGTGAGCCTCGGCCTAAGAGGCCTTGGGTGTCTAAGCTCTTGTTCTTGGTCCCTTCTCAACTGCCACGTGCACAAGGCCAGGCGGGTCCGCCGGGTGATGAGAGCCGTGCGTCCAGACACTCCTCTATTCTAGCCAGCCAGCAGCCAGCGGACCTGTGAATGAGACTGTCCTAGGTGGGCCAGCCTCCGATTCACCCGTCTGCTTGGGGCGGGGGGCACCCAAGAACAAGCCCGGCCAGGGTCGGCCATGGTAACCCGAACCCATGGAATCACCCAGCTGACCTATCAACTCAGAGTCATAACACATGGCTGTTGTTTGAAGCCACTCCATTTTGGGGTGTGATGCAGACATCAGATGCAGACAAGGCCATTTCATAGCCAAGGAGAGGGCAGCTTTCGGTCTAGGGCAGGGGTTGGCCTGTTGCCTGTGTTTGCAAATAAAACCTGACTGGCACACAGCCACATTTATTCATTGTGCAGTTCAGTCTGCAACAGCTAAGCCAAAGAGTTGCAAGAGGTGTGTGAAGTCTGCAGTATTTATTGTCCCTTTAAAAAAAAGTTCCTGTTCCCTGGCCTCGGCCATGACCAATAATAATCGCCGTGATAATGATGATAATAGAATGGTCTATCTCTCAAACCTGGTATAAAGATCTGACTCAGGAGTCAGAAGATTAGGATTCCTCTGATAAGAATTTTTGCAAATGCTGCCGCTCTCTAGGCTTAACCTTGTCATTGGGCATTGAAGGAACATGAGCAAGTAACTCTGCAGTCACCTCCAAGTTTGACGGAGGCCTCAATTTGATCAGTTCAGGCTGTGGCCAGGAAGATGTATCTCCCAGGAAGCCCCCTCCTCCAGACCCCAGATGACATCTGTGCAGGTGAAAGTACACCCACCACTGGCCGACACCATTTGGCTCCAGGTGACTTGTCCGTGGGAGAACTAGACAGAAGTGCGAGTGTTTCCAAGGACACAGGCAAAATCCCAGGGGTTATTTTGACAAGATGTTTTACCAACATCAAGCTTAGACTGCCAGTTGGAATGTCTCAAGTCAGTCTAAAAGAAACCAATCACAGTATCAATCAAAAAGAGGAGGACCAAAGTGTGGGGGGGGGGATTGGGTTTCATCAAATGCTGGATATTAGGGCAGGGTGGGGAGTATGTCCAAACAGGTAGTGATGGTGGTGATGACGGTATTGTTGACGGGGGTGGCAACTTCCACCCTTGAACTAAGTGTTCTGATTAATGACCTCTCCCCACTACCATCTCCACCTATGATTTTACTTTTGCATTATTTTAACTCTCAAGTACACGAGACATAACTCTTCAAATATGTATCACAAGAGCTGTGAAGACAAGGCCTTGGAATATATTTCTTGGGTGGTGTATGGATGGTAATAAGCATTGAGACTCTGACATTAGACAGGCTGGATTTAAAAGACTCCGTGCAGCAACACCTGAACTGTGTGGCTTGGACGGGTGTGTACACTTCTCTGAGCGGCCAGTTGCTCATCTGCAAGGAGAGTCTTAACAGTGCACCTGTACACAGGGTGCGGAGAGGCAGAGTGAGGTGGATGCCTGTGGAGCTTGATGCCACCCGTCTACTGTCCTGGCCATGCCATGCGAGGAAGCATTTATCACTGTGCACACAGCAGGGGTCTAGTAAGTATTTGACAGTTGAGCAGACAGAGGGGTCTAGAATTCATCCCACCATTTTTTTAAACAATTATATATATTTACATAGTTTATTTTCCATCCTGCCATTTTGATTGCACTAAAGTAGTGGTTCTCAGCCGGGGGGGGGGGCAGTGGAATAGAGAGTGGGTACAGTTTTGCCCCTGGTGGCCATTTAGCCAAGTCTGGTGACATTGTCCCTTTGCAGGGAGGTGCGCCAGTGACATCTAGTGTGTGGAGGTCAGAGCTGCTGCTCAGTATCCTTCCTAAGTGGATTTGTTGGAGGAGTGGGGAGGGGACCCTGCCCCCAAGTCAAGAGTTTTTATCTCTACATCTGGAATCTTCCAGCCATGAAGTGCTAACTAGTAAAAAAGAACAGAAGTTGCATTTGAAATTCTTTGGGACTAGACACAAGGGGAACAAAATGCCAAGGTTTAGAAAGCGAGTGTGCTTTGGAGTGTGCTTTGGAAACCAGGCTGCGGTGGGTTCATGCCTCGGGGTCGAGGGTGGCCGGGCTTCTCCCGCAAGTAGCTCTCGGGCCCTGGGGAAATGGTGTCCCTTGCGCCCTGGCTGAGACTTCCTCGCATGGCGCGGCCAGGACGGTAGACGGGTGGCACCAGGCTCTGCAGACTGACATCCGAGTCTGTCTGGGTACGGAACGGCAGGGCTCGGTCCCAGCTGATGTGCCTCGTGGCTCTGGACCACGGTGTCTGCTTTCTGGTATTTTTACACCCCAACTACTGGTGTGAGCTCTAGGCTGCATGTTCGTTTTAAGAGGACAAAGGAACAATCCACCGTCTCCTGAGGAGTTAGCTCAACGAGTTATTTTTACTTTGGCTTTGGTTTATTAGTTAGCCAGCAAGCCAGCCACGCCGGAGGGGAGACTACTCACACATGGGCCTCAGGTAGCAGGGAGGACATGATGCAGCTGTGCACTGGGGTGAAGGGGCGGAAGATGTCTCCCTTCTTCATCTTGTCATCGTACGTGCTGAAGGAAAAGCAGAAAGAGACACGAGTGAACAACTGCAGCAGCTTTAAACGCCTCCTCTCGAAGGGGCTGAGGTGGCAGCTGTCACTGGACGCTTACTGTGTGTCCGGCAGTCATTCCCACTCGAGAGATGAAGGTTCCAGATGCAGTTCTCATGGAGGAGTGAAGAAAGGAAGCAAGTTAAATAGGTAAACTCTGTGGTTTGCTAAAGGTCAGCTGTGCCTGCTTGGAGGGCCGGACAAATCCTCCTGGCCTCGGGGTCTATGTCAAAACTCCTCAGTGGCGTGAACACGTTGGTCATGTGTGTGGTGGTGTTCCAATAAAGCTTTATTTACTGGGGCTGGATTTGCCCGGGAGTGGGAATCTGCTGAACCCCCGCCCCAGCCATTCCAGATGGTGCACATGTTTTGGGGTGCACAGCGGTGCCCTGTGTACCAAGGTTTTCGTCAAAGACAGGCTGCATGGAGGATGGTGGTTCCTAGTCAGAGCCTCGGTGTTTAGAAGGCGGTACCAGCTGGGTTTGTGCCGTTACACTCTGAGCTGGTGACCTGATGAAGCTGCCAGAAATCATGCTTCTCAGCAGAGAAGGGGTCTGGAGGGCTGGGGGGGTTGTAGTTTCAAGCCTGGCGTTGGGGAACGTGTCAGTGAGAAGGTGATTAAGAATCGGGGTGTGACAATGTCTGGGGCATTCAGATGTCTGGGGCAGAGAATCAGGAAAGCATGTGCTGGGGCCCTGGGGTGGGCTGTGTTCCTAAGACAACAAGGAGAACGGATGTGGCAGTAGTGTGATGACCAGTGGGGTGAGGAGGTGGGCAGAGAACATGGGTCTGGAGATCCATTGCGAGGCTTTGGCCCTTTCTCTGAAGAGGGGTGCTTCAGCTGAGAGAGGGCACCATCTGACTGGCATCTGGAAAGGGTCCCTCTGGCAGTGGTTTTGAGAACCTAGGGTTGGGGGGTGTCAACCAGGAGATCAACTAGCAGCACTGCAGTGATTCTAACTTCAGGGAGGAAGGTGACTTCGCCAAGGTCCTAGCCCTCGGGACATGAGGAATGGAGATGGGCACAGCTGAGGCCTTGCCTGGGTTAGTGTCTCAAGCTTCTGGTCTTTCCTTTAAGGGGGCTTCCTCCAGTTCTGTACACTGCTGACTGGTGTGTTTGTAAATCATCAATTCACCAGCCGTGAGGTGGCACCTGGAACTTCAGGAGGGTGCCCGGGGAGCCCCAAAAGATCAACAGCAACCAGCTGTCACCATAACAGCTGGTCACCATGAGGAACCAGAAAATAGGGGGCTTCTCTAAAAGCTGACACCGTGGGCGTGGGGGAAGCAAATGCCCAGGGAAGGGGAGAAGCAGCCCAGATAGGCAGCTCATCTCTGAAACCACTGGATTTTTACAAAAAAAAAAAAAAAAAAAAGACTGTTTCAAAGTGGAAAAGATTAAATTACATCTAATACAATATTTAAGATTTTCTCATCATCATAGAGCAAGTAATTTCAGTTAGAGAAGGCTGTTTTTGTTTGGTTTTTAGCAAACCAGACTCACTGGGCATCTGTTTTTTTGTTCATGACCAAATCCAGCCATTAGAAACGTTTTAATTAGTTTACTTGTGTGTGTGTAATTGCATCAGTTGCTTGTATTTTGAAATTGGGAGATTTTACATAAAACGAAAAAGCTTTGTCTCTGGGAAACCTGAGGCTCTGGCCTCTCTGGACCTGTGTCTGGCTGGCAAGAAGCCAGCGTGGCCCAAACTTGGGGGACGTTTCGAGGTGGCTGTCCACGCCAAGTGAGGTGTGTGCTCAAGACTTAACCGCTTTGGCATCACCACGCCCCCACCCCC